AATCATCGCTAAAGTAAAAAAATTTTCGCGTCGCCTGTGGGAAAGTGTGAAATTATATACCTAAAATGTGGTATTTCCAAATACATTGCATTCCTCCCGTGAACAAGGAGGCAGATTCCCTCGAGAAGAAGAAGATCTTGACAAGATAGCCATTACGCGATGAAGAGCGGAGGCTGACTGACCGAGGAGAAGACCTGCCGCGTTTTCCGTCTCGTCGACAAAAAAAAAAGACCAGTATATAAGAGCGCTTTCAACGAGAGCGAGCTGACAATGCTCTCGGACGCGAAAGCTGCGTCGTCTTTGTATATGTGGGGGGCGGGGGGGTGGTGTTTATACGTGGATGCGTGTATCGGTATCGCTTCCCGTCGGGCCGGGATAATCCGCTTATGCAGGTCCAGTCCTCTCGGCTTCGTCCTCTTCTCCGCGTAACGGCGCATTGTTGCCGGCGTATTGTGAGAAAACAGTATTTTCGACGCTCGAGGTGACGACAAGAGAAGGAGACTTAAACTCATCACCGTCACAACAATGTCGTCGCGATCGTGGGAGGACACCGCCGATGCACCTGACACGAGTTACATATGTGTCGCGTACACATGAAGGCTTCCCGGCGCGTAGCCTGTAATTTCGCGCGCGAACGATCGGATAATAATAATTTCGAGAAATGAGTGGCTTTTAACGAAGTGACAGCATTCTTGTCGTCTCCGGGTAATACGTATCAATACCTGACGATTCCATTTTAAACGTGTAGAAAAAATCTTAATAATCTGTTTTGGAAATTATAGCATAGATATACATATAGAAATCTTGTGACCCGATTTTGTAAATCAATTCTCGTTATAAGGATCAGGGACCTCGATATATCGCGAAGTCGGATATCTCGATGAAGGGTTGTCGGTTGGCGTGGCCACCCCAGAGGGAAGGGCTCTCTCTCGCATAATCCTATGAATACATAATCCAGATGCAAACAGCCGCCACGCGTGCCTCGTGATTTAAACGGTAGCGATATTTCACGGATTAGAACGCGAATATTTGCGCTATTTTTCACGGTGTCGGTCGAGATCCCGAGTGTCGTTCGAGTAACGGTATCCTCGTTCCGAGGATCTGAATCCTCTCTCGTTCCCACGTTATCTCTAAATTCTAAATGTCAAGAAAGATGCACAGATTTATCTGTCTTTAAGAATAATAACAAATAAAACTACATTCAAAGTATGTGCATTTTATACTTTATGTCGTCATTGCGTGGCGCAAAAAAAAAGAATGATTGACAAGGATCGGATTTTAAAGGGCAATGCCGATCACCGATGCAAATACAGATAGTCGACGGCCCTTTTTTACGGGATAAGCGAATATGATAAAAATGAAATTGGCGTTGATGGATGAGACTCAATGGACTGGATTATCGATCCATAAAAAAAATCTCGCCGATAAATAATTTGCAAATTCGTCATGACGGGACAGTCGCAGACTAAGAGACTCCACACATTATTTTTTTCATTAAAATATTCCAGAATATTAAAATATTCTTTCATAAAAAAATTCTAGAAATTAGTTAAGGAAGAGGATAAAATATATAATTGGTACGATTTTTTTTTCTCGTTGAAGAGTATTATTATTAATCTATTCAAATGACTATGAACGGGCTTAACGGCTAAAGTTAATTAAATATTACATGCAAATCGGCACAGATAAAATGAAGTTGTCGGGATTCCTGTTAAGGCAGTTGTGAGATTGTTGAAGAATGGTTTCGCGAAATCTGGATTATAATCAGATCGCAATTACGACAAAGTCTTATCATGTACGTTATATATATTTTAAACGGCCGTAAATATCGAGGCGAATTATTCCTCCAGTGAAATTAGAATGGCGAATGTACAGCGAAGCAAAGCGGGAGATCTCACGAAAGGATTTTCCCTTAATGTCTTTTCTTTGTGTGCTCCAATTTACAGAATATTTACAGTTGCAGTGCATTTTTTTTTTCCTCCCGATCCTCCTCGAGGAAAAGTGTGTATCTATTAATACTAATTAAAGTATGGACATTGGAGTCGCTAAATTACTTCATGATATGAACGAAAATCTCTAGGCATTGCCTAAGAGATAACGTGAGTATCGTAATAAGATAGTAATATATGGATAAATATACGAAATATAAAATAGAATTTTCCGGAATGGAATATATTTACAATGTCGATATCAAAAGTGCTCGCTTCTCGCTCTTAAAATCGCTTCCCAAAATTAGGCTACTACTAATTAGTGCCGGCTCTTACTAAAGTAGACAGAGGTATATCTTTAACAACGCTCATACTTTGCGAATATCATATATGTATATATTTCACCTTACTATAGTTTGATAATATATTCTGAACTATGTATAATATATAACGGGGTATTTGCCGATTTAAGATTATAGGAAATACAAAAAGATGACACAGATAAATAAAATCGTACTAGTTTATTATTACTTCTATTTAAATAACATAATCGATACAAATAAAAATTAAAATGTTAAAATAAAACAAGAATAACGCAATAAGGACTAAATTGTGAAATAAAACAATAATAAAATTTATCATCTGATAAAAGTAACATATAAAATAAAATACTTTTGAACGCAAAATGTGTTTCACGTTCGAGATTATTAACGATAAATAACGCTTGCACTCGAAGCTAAGTTAATTTTTTTAATAATCTTTGCTACGCATCGTGAGTCAGAATCGATATCACACAATGTATGAGCGTAAGCTTAAGTTAAGATCGGTTAAGTTTTCCACATACCGATCGGAGTGATAAATTACAGGAGCATTCGAAAAACATGCGCACGAAACGCACTCTCTCGTATATCTCTTTCTCTCTCTTCCTCTCTTATAAAAATACATTGGACGGAACATACGAGTATCCACGTAATCTTTCCCTCGTTTTGAAGGCGATTAGGATTAGAGATTTGAGCGAGCGCATCTCTTCCTTCGTCATTTCGCGAAAATTGCTCAGCGAACTGCAATGTAATTCACGAAAATGTTTGCTAAGAATATAGGCTTTAGATATGTGGAGAATAACTTAGAATCTGGACTGAGGATAACGCAAAAACGTATCGAAAAAATCTATAATAATTTACACATATATAAATATGGAAAACTGATTTCATATCACTTATACTCATATAAAAAAATCAAAATTTTGCCACAGTTTATTATTCCGTTTTTTCTTGTATAGAATTATTTCTCTAATGTAACGTTAAATAAAATTCAATCAATTTTGTCTAATATATAGATCCATTTCTATTTTTAAATTTAAAATACATTTAAATTTATAATGAAAATTCGTTTTTAACGTGAAGGATTGGAATAGAGAATATTATTGTGAGGATATGTGGTAACATCTCGCCGAATAAAAAAAAAAAAGAAAAACACGTGAGATGTAAAATTATAACGAAAGAGTTGTACGCTTTATTGTATAATACTTCGAGGCAATATGTTGTGAAAATTTTTATCTGTCTTTCTTAGACATCCTCTTATTTGTGCAATGCACTCTTTTCTCTCGAGAACACGGGATGATCGCACAATCACAAGATTTGAATACTATATGTAATAACAATAAATAATCCTCTCTTGTGGCAGAAATTAGGATCGCCTTCCGTTATATTGGAAGGGAAAGCCGAACGATCGCAGAAGACATATAATAAACTCTTAAAAAATTATAATTTAATACACATTAATTTAAATAATACACATATTCTAAAAAATCAGTAATAAAATATTAACTATTAGAGTAACAAATGAAGAATACTCCAAGCCATATTTAACTTGTATTTACTTTTATCGATCTTCCATAACTTTATGACTCTGTATGATTTTATGATATGTCAGGAAACTTTCGTTTTACACATTAATGTTTAAACGGTATTAAATCGAAATTAGAAAATATATCAGAATTATGTCCTGGAATGTTCTTCGTCGGTGGTTTTTAAACATTATTGGCACTTCTGCTGTTTATCGGGTATATATAACCAAATCGTAATCTTAAATTATCACTCATTCCCTATCGAATCAATATTATCACTGAAATAATTTCAAAAACAGTTAAATATAAATATAGAAATGAGAATATTGCCGCGACGAGATAAAAGATAGTGATTGACACTGATTCTTCTAATCTCTTCAAGTCGCTAATTTAATTCCAATGACACCTTTCCAGTTGTTTTTGATGATAAAGTATCGAAGTCGCTAACGAGAGTATTGAGCACTAAATGCGCAGAAATAAAATGAGCATAAAAAATATTTCAGCAAAAAATACTGTTCGGCATAATACTGATTTGATTTATGTTACAAAGTTATAAAGTTGTAACGTCTGATAAGAGATTGTTGTTTTACAGAATGATAAGCGGATACTTAAATTATTTAGTTAGAGCTTGTCGTTCTATCACTATTTTTTAATTCGTCTTATGACACAACACGACAAAATGAAATGTCATAAAGCAATATACCCTCACTGGACTGTATTCAATTTACTCTTTCGTACCCCTCGCACTTCGACGCTAATTAAAACGTTCATTTTCGACGATAGTGATATTTTGAGTATATAAAAAGTTTTTCGAATATCATTTTAAAAGCGCGTATAGTGCGTGTAACAGCGATGTAACGCATCGCTTCATTGACAACAATTTTTATTTAGCTTGTTAAATAGCAAACAACGCTAAAGTAAAATGTTCATAAATCACTTTTAAAAGCGCGTATAGTACGTGTAACAGCGATGTATACGCATCGCTTCATTGACAACAATTTTTATTTAGCTTGTTAAATAGCAAACAACGCTAAAGTAAAATGTTCATAAATCATATACATATTTTTGTAAAAAAATTATTTAAACGAGTATAAAAACGCGAATCGTTCGACACGTTCTCCCCGTCCATTTTTCGATCCTTCTCGCCTCTTTAGACACGTATAAGTTCACTCTTTATACTTAGGCTCTTTTATTTAGGTTACAGTTTATCTCCAGGAGTCTCAAGGTATTATATGCCTACGATTAGAATACTTTATTAATGAAGGGATGCAAATGCTTCTTGCAAAAATACAATTTCTCTCGTACGCTAAGAAAGGTATGTTACACGCTACCTATCTACTTACGTTATGTTTCGTTAATGAAAGTTGTGATCGTCGTCGCGTTTCATCCCTCCGTGATTAAGACTGATTTCAGCCGTACGTTCGATGATCGTGTATAATCTGTGGCAAGAAGGGCGGAAAATATATCGGCCACGCGATCCGCGCGAATTATTTCAGTGTAACTTTATTTTGTGCTGCGCAGATATTTTGTCGAGCAAAACGACGCTCGTTAAATATTGTTCTCGATCATCTCAATCCCTACGCGAATACTTGGAAATCAATATACTGACGCATCGGGATCTAAAAGATCCATTTTCTTGCTATCGTTTTACGTATAATAAATAGCACACACACGTTGACAAAAAAAGAGTATTTTTGATGCAAAAAACAAATTTAATTTTTTCATACTTTTCTTCGATTAATTAATTAAATTAAATTATTCTTTAAATTGATATACATTGTATATTTTTATTTATTGCATTAAAAATACCATATAAATAATGGGTATTTATTGGATTAAAGCTTCTAAAAAACAATTTAATTTAAACTATAATTCGAGCTAACTATAAAAGAGAAAAAAATTATTTAAAAATACCCAGAAAAATTTATATATTTGTAAAACCACTAAGATCGCTTCCTGATGCTTCAGTATAGCATTAAACACTTTTGGTGACAGTGCCTTTCCTCGCTTTTACCCGCCTTTCATCTAACTCCGTTTTTCTTCAAACAAACTTCTTTCTTTTCTTACCTTCACCGACACTCCCCTTCTCTTTCTCCCTCTTTTTCCATCAATGACGACAAATTTCGCGACTTGTCCAGCCGTTCGGTAAATGAGTAAAGAATAAATCTCGCAATTTTGTTCGCTTTCTTCGAGAATTGGCGTAGCCGCGAGGATGACAATGACGAGGAGGAGGCGATCGATCGATAGCAGCGGAAGAAGGCGGCAATAACAGCAACAGGAATGAATTTTTACAGACACATATTCCTCGATACGAGGCGACGGCGAGCTTCATTGCTGCTTCTCGATATTCGCTTCGCACCGTCATGGCGGCCACGGCGCGGCCCTCGTCATCAGGAAACCGACGGTCGTTGACCATCGACGATATTGGCGGTCGAATTCACGAGGGTCTCAGACGACGCAGTTTCGGTCACTCAAGGTTCCTGATGAGCACAGCCAACTCGCGGAACGAGGCGCCAAGTTTGCCGGACGTCGATTGCTTCTTCAACAGAATCGCCCGTATCGCCGACAATTTCTCGTAGCAAGAGAGGCATTTGTGATACCTGGAAGAACAAAGAGGAAAACGATTCTCGATGAGACAAGGCTCGAAATAAAAACGTCCAGACATAAATGATATATTGAATAGAACTTACCGTTCCTCTCGCGACACGTCGACGCCGATCGTGTGAAGGGGCGCTTCCACGTTGGATTTTATCACTGGTGCAAAATTACGAAGAATAAGTCTCAAGGCCGAGCAAGCTACTGTTATGTACCTGAAACAGATCGAAATTTGGCAAAAATAAGTAAATAGTAATAATTTAATTAGGAGAAATAGATAAGTAAGTAATTTTTGATTGCATATTTATTTATTTTATAAGACTGCTCATTTATCCAAGAAATATAGTTCGAAGGGGATAGGATGGGAACAGTCGTGGAATGATGATAAGGAGTTATGGCAAGTTTCGCAACACCCACCGGTCCCGGTCACGCCTGGTCCGCTTGATAAAACGGGCGTTATTATTACGCTAACAACGACGCCAATAAATAACGAAAGGCGCGAAAGGCATGCCCGCGATTCAGCACGCTCTCGCTTTCGGACGGACGGGCGAGAAAGGGTTCGTGCTCCCGTTCGAATCGGCGAGACGAATCGCGAACACGCTCATGAATGCAACGTCGATCGACGCACCCTGTGTATAACGCATCGGCCGAATTTTACGCGGCTTGTAACAAAAATGGGAACCTAACAAAAATAGGAAACCGATACGATCGACATATATGTGCGTGACTTCGGGAAAGTCTTTTCTCTCTCGTGAAAAAAAAAATTTTAACTAAAATAATCCGCAAGTAATAATTTAAACACACTATTCAAAAATAAAATAATAAAAGAGGACAATTTCAATTTAATATATTTTAATATATTTTTTAATAAATATGTTTAAGAAAGCAGTCTTATTATCGTCTGCTATTATTTTTTATAATATATTTAATTAATATATATATATATATATATATATTTATTATAATATAAATATCAATTGATTATCATGACAAATTATTAACTATAACAAATTCATTTTTCTATTTTTATCTTCATCAGATAATTGTGAAGATTTTACAGGAAAAAAAAAGAATTTTTTTCTTTCCAATGAAAATCTAAAAAAATTTTAACTAAAATAATCCGCAAGTAATAATTTAAACACACTATTCAAAAATAAAATAATAAAAGAGGACAATTTCAATTTAATATATTTTAATATATTTTTTAATGAATATGTTTAATAATAGAATTTTAATTCAATAATTATCTTTTTATTTGGATTAAAATAATAATAAGAATTTTAACTAGAGATATTTATTATCTCTCGATCAAATTATAATAGCTTTACCACAGTTTACAATTATTTTATCTATTATTATCTGATATTAATAA